AGTATATTATGTAAAGTATATTGATTGTGTCATTCAACTCGTATCTGTCTACTAGGTTTGTTCAGTTCTGAAAGAGGTATATTGAAACCTCTCACTGTAATTGCATTTGTCAAGGTGTTCCTCTATCTGCAATAGTTTTTGCTTAAGTGCTGTGTTGTTGGATGTGTAATTTTTTTAAAATTTTTCTCTGCCATTGACATGCATTATAATACCCTAACCTCATCAAATGGATAGCAAATCTTCAAAAGTAATTATTGAATCCAAAGTTTAGCAGTCTTCTCGTAAGTTACGTCCTTATCATCAAAGCCATATTTTAAAACAGATAGTTCACAGCCTTTTCACTATAAATAGCATTTAAAAGAATATTTATCACACCAACCCACTTTACTCTCTAAGGCATATTCACTCATCGCTGTATTTTAATCACATCAGCTTTGTAAGAAAGCAGCATCTTTTGGGAAATTCCAGGATTTTTCTTTTCAACGCAAATAGTCCTTGACTAACTTATTTTTCCTTACTCTCACAGTTAAATACAAGTTACGGTGAGCCATACAGAAGGCCGTGTGAGGTTACACCTCGCACCCACTCATTTTATAAGTACCCGCTCTGAAAAGCTTTATTACATTTAGTATGCAAGCAAATAATTTTTAGGCGGATTATTTCTTAGACAAAACAAGATAGAACACCACTCCAGAAACATCTTTTCCTCCAGATTATTCTGGCTAAATACACCATTTGGAAACTTAGGTTTTCATTCTAGCCAGTCACTGGCATAAAGCTAACTTTACAGAATGCATTGTTAGAAGCAAAGGTATATTTATTTTTAAATACAAACAATTAAAAATTTTATACCATCCGGTTTAATAAAAATCAGTTGTATTTTATGCCTTTTGAAGTTAGGGAACAACTGTGTTGGGTAATTTGTTAGACTGGATTTTAATGTTTTATGATTATTATAGCTTTCCTATGAATTGTATCTTTTCTGGTTACATCGCGTCTGTTCTTACCCTAAGTGTACCTTGTCTAACACTCCCCTCATCATTCCTCCTTTCCTTTTGTTTACATTCGACTAGTGTCATTCTCTATTAGCTACATTGTGTGAAGGGCTGGTCATTCTCTACTCTCTGTTAGCTACATTGTGTGAAGTGCTTTTCTGTGAAACAGCACACAGCTGTTTTTCTTCCTTCTCTTCCTCTTTTTTCCTTTTTCTTTTCTTTCTTTTTTTTTTTTTTTCAGACACAGAGTCTCACTTCGTCACCCTGGGTAGAGTGCAGTGGCATCACAGCTCACAGCAACCTCCAGCTCTTGGGCTTAGGTGATTCTCTTGCCTCAGCCTCCCGAGTAGCTGGGACTACAGGTGCCTGCCACCACACCCAGCTGCAGTTTGGCGGGGCCTGGGTTTGAACCCACCACCCTTGGTATGTGGGGCCGATGCCTTACTCACTGAGCCACAGGCGCCGCCCCCCTTTTTCTTTTCTTTTTCACCCTACTCATATACTCTGCCTTTGCCTGAAAGAACGAAGTTCCTTCTCACTTGGCGTGATGACTGACATACTTGATTTTACTTCTTCCATCGTTTGTTGACTGTTTATTTCACTTTATGATTTCTTTTTACTTCCGTTTACTTTTATTTTCCGTTTTCCAGTCGGGTTAAGTTGCCGTTTTTTACCTTTTTATTTGGAAAGCGACTCTTTATTTTTCCTACAATGTTTCAATCTCTTCTTACTTCTCCATGATTTGAATATAAAATGCCGATTATTCTCCCACGAAGACCTTCTGTCTCCCCTGACTCCTGTAAGTGGAGACTCATAGCTTTCTTTTCTCCCTTCCCCTCCTCCTAGGATGAACCCAGCAAAATGCCTAGCCTTTTGGCACAAACTCCCAACTTCTAGCTTTTATCAAAATAGTTTCGTGCCTTTTTATAAGGAAATGATTCGATCTTTCTTTGCAGTACATCCTTGTTCTATCAGGAATCCTTATATAGCACTTAGTATATTTCACATTCCCAGTCTATGCAACCTCAAGTTCATGGCGTAACGCTAGTTGCTTGTTCTCTTATGCTTGCCTAGTCTCCGTTCTGATGCATCTGCTGTTTGGCTGTTTCTCCTGTAAGCACAGTCATCCTTCAGTATCTGCAGAGCAATTGGTTCCAGGACAACCCCCCTATACCAAAATCCACCGAAGCTCATGTTCTTGATATAAAATGATGTACTATTTGCATACAACATATACACAGCCTTTTCTATACTTTAAATCATCTCTAGGTTCCTTATAAGACCTAATACAAAAGAAATGCTACATAAATAGTCATCACACTGTATTGATTTTTAATTTCTGGTTTTTATTGTCATATTTTTGTAAACTTTTGAATTTTTTTCAAATGCCTTTGATCTGCAGTTGGTTGAATTTGTAGACTTGGAACTTGCAGGTACTGAAGACCAACTGTATTTTTTTCAAATAAGATATTTGGATGAAATACTCCCTTGCATGTCTTAGAGATGGCTCTTTCATCCTGAGAGGTGAGGGATAGCTTGTTGGTGTATAGGATTCATGGGGTGGATTCTTTTCTTTCTGTGGTCTATAGACAGGGATTCTTCCACTGTCATTTGGTTTCTAGTGTTCCAGATGAGAAAACTGAAGCCAGCTTTACCCTTTTGGGGGTTAACTTCTCCGTGCTGTCTGGGAGGTTCCAGATGGTTTTCTTTATAGTTGGAAATCTGGCGTTTTCAGTGTCCGGGTGTCTGCTTTCTTCACATTGATCTGTCCAGAGATTCAGGATACTCCTCCCACTCAAAAACCCAAATTTTTCATCTATTATTTGTTCCATTATTTCATCTTCTCCAGCTGTTCCATTTTCTCTGTCTGGGATGGTTTTCACATCTAATATGGCCTGACTCTATTCTTCAAAGTCTATTTTTTTTCCTTCATAATTCCCATCTGTGCTGTGTATTCTTGTTTTGCCCTTTGAGTCATTTTTCAATTTGATTTTTCCTAACAGTGTTTGGTTTGCTGAATTGACCACCTTTCCTTCCATTCATTTGCCGAAATTTTAATTTTTTTTCATTCAATGATCATATTAGCGTGTAAGAATTTTGCATGTGAGTCCTTCCCAAGTGCTCTTTTATGGTCTGTTCAAATGGAGGCCTCCAACACAAGTTCCATGAATTTTCTTCGCTACCTACAGCGTCCTCTTGGAGGTGTAATTTTTAATGATTGGCTCCTTCTAGCTCAGATATGGCTTTGGGGGAAATCCCGTCAGTGATGAGTTAGCAGGCAGGTTGTCCTCCCCCAGATATCTTTTGTTCTCCTGGCCCTCAGCCCACCTGTCTGCTCTTACGTGTTTATCAGGGGGAGAGGAAGATGGAATGGTGGGAATCTATGATTCCCTTTGAATGAACTCTTCCCAGGATCCAGAACTCTTTCAGCTTTGCTGTAGAGGTCTTCAGCCTCTTTTTCTAGCCTCTGCTAGACTTTCCAAAAGTCTAAGTCTGGAATCTCCCCTGCACCGACCTGTGAGCCCACCAGCTGCTTGGCTATGAGGGGCAGGGAGATATAATTTGGGAATGGAGAGGACATGAAAAACATTTAGGTCAGGTCTTTCCAGAGTCTGTCTCTAAACTATTACTATTTTATATTTACAAAAGTGAAACACAATCGTTATAAAAGTGAAATAAGCAGGACAGAATGGGGCAAGGTAAATAGTAAAAAGAATGTCTGTCTCCTGTCTATTCTTCCTTTATAGATTGGTGGATCTTTCAAATATTTTCTCTGTACTTACACACATATAGTTCTAAGCATATAAGTAGGATCACACTATGTACATCATTGTGTAACTTGGTTTTTCCTTCCCTTAATGTGAGGATTTTTAAAAGATATAAATTCATACAGGCTTAGCACATTTCTTTTAATGACTGTGTGGTTTTTATTGTGAAAATATCAAAATGTGTTCAATGGATATTTGTGATATCTAGTTTTCTCTCCTATAAACAGTGACGTTTTGAAAGTATTTGCATACATCCAAGGGATTAGATTACTAGATGTGGAATATGTGAGTCAAAGGAAATACGCATCTTAAATTTCGGTAACTTATGCCAAATTTCTTTCCAAAAGGGTTAACCTCATTACGCTCCTGTATATGGAATGTGAGAGTCGCTGTTTTTCATGTTCCTAATGACACTGTATGATCAATATTTTAGTTTTTATTAGTCTGAAAAAACAAAATTAGGCTCCTATTATTGCTTTAACTTGAAATGTTTAAATTTGGAGTGAAGTGGTGCTTTTTTTATATACTCATAGTCTGATTACATTTTTCTTGGATGAATTGCTTCTTTGTGGTCTTCTTTTCCCCATGGACTTGTTAGTCTTTTTCTTGAGTTTCAGGGACTTCTCTCTGACTTAAGGAAGTTAGTTCCAGGTCTTTCATTTGCATTGCGAGAATGTTTCCCACTGCATCATTTGTCCTCAAGATTTTTCTAATGGTTTTTGCAATGCTTTATTTTTAATCTTGTATTAATTAACCTTTTAACCTCTTTTTTTTTTCCAGGTTTCATGTTCTGCTTAGAAAGATCTTCCTTACTTTAAATTGATAGCTATAAAAATTATTAACTCATGGTTTCACCTTTTACTTTTAAGATGCCATCTTTTGCATGGAAATCTTTGATCCACCTGAAGTTTATTTTGGCATACGAGTAGAGAAGGGATTCAACCTAACTTGTTCATTTGTTTCTATATGGCTACTAGTTCATCCAATGTCATGATGAGAGTCCATCTTTTTCTAATTGATCTGAAACGCCACTTTTATTATAGACTGAATCCCCATGCCACTGAATCTTTTGTTGAATGATTTAAGGTCTATCCAAAGGGTGAGGCTTATAAATGAGTGTCTTGAGAATTTGACTCAGGAGTGAAGAGAAATGACCAGAGAGTCAAATTGGAACTTTCCCCCTTGCCTCTATGCAGGCTTCCTTCTGTGCTCATCTGCCTTCTTGTTGATGTTACAGATATCTGAGAAATATGGGCTACCCGTGGAGAAGATAACAAAGCTTTACAAGAAAAGCAAAAAAGGGTAAGAAAGAAGCTGAGCTTAACTGAACTCTATTTCAAGTCTATGTGATGCCTTAAAGAAAGCCACACACACAAAGACACCTTTCTTTTGTTAATTCTGTTATGTATCCTTCATAAAAATTGTGTGTCATCCTTCCAAAAGGATTGCAGAGAAGTTTACAAAAACGATGCATTTTGAAGATCTCAAATGAAAGCGGGAGGGAGGATAACAGTGCTTTGTCTTGATGTCCCCTGAGATTCCATTGATCGGATGAGCAGATGGACCAGAGGGGTCTGGAGGTGGTGAGGATACTGGGGGTAATGGCAAAGTCACCCCTCCGCAGAGAGTGGGATTTACAGCTTCCATAGCCGTTGGCTTCAAGAAAGCACAGTAGGAACAAAAAATGGTTCAGGACGCAGGGAATTCTTCCAGGGTAATTAACAAAACAAACAAAACAAAATTCTCAAATGATCATCAGACCTGCTGGTTCTCACTATTGCCATAGCTCTTATTTATTGAGTGTTCAATAGGTTCTAGGTTCCCTACTAAGTGCTTTAGTGCTTTCCTCTATTTACTCCTTACTGCTTTATGTGGTAGAATCTATTATTTTTGCTAATTTGCTGATGAGGAAACTAAACCAGACATAGCTTATGCGTCTTGCCCAGGGTGTTGTGTTCAGTAAGTAGGGTATAGATTTGAACCCAGGTCTGTGTTTACAAAGCTCAAGAGCTCAGCTTCTGCTTTCTGCTACCTATACCCTGTATGGGCTTCCTGCCTATGGGAGTCTAGGAGTAGTGAGCACAGCAGCTGGTTTAAGTGCCAGGACAGAATTTTCATGACTCACCTTTGAAGCTATTTTTCTACAAAAGGTAGAAAAATGGGTCTTTGAACTCTTCTCTCTGGACCATTTTATTATTTTTTTTCTTTCTTTCTTTTTTTTTTTTGTTTTGTTTTGAGACAGAGTCTCACTTGGTCACCTTGGTAGAGTGCCATGACATCACAGCTCAGAGCAACCTCAAATTCTTTAGCTCAAGCTATATTCTTGTCTCAGCCCCCCGAGTAGCTAGGACTACAGGTGCCTGCCACAGTGTATAGCTATTTTTAGAGATAAGTTCTCACTCTGGCTTAGGCTGGTCTCGAATCTGTGAGCTCAGGTGATCCAACTACCTCGGCCTCCCAAGTGCTAGGATTATAGGTGTGAGCCACCATGCCCAGCCATGGACCATTTTCATAAATGGTACTTATTTCCTAGGATTCTCAGGCTTTCTGAGGGGTGGGGCCTCTTGGATGACTGTGGGTCAAGGAGGACACCCTTTCCGCCAGAAGAACCCTTTTGGAATGCTCACTAAAATGTATATTGCACTTCTTTCCAAGGTCAGTGTAACAGGCAGGGTGTATTCCTTTGACAGAGAAATTTGGGTGTCTCAAGGTCACTGCCAAGCACAACTCCTTGGTGCCCGTGCACATGCTGAAGATAACATTTTGCCTCCATTGAGCTCTGTGTCAGTCCCTGTGCCAAATGCTTTATCCTAACAACAAACTGCATGGTGGTTCTTATTTTTGCAGAAGAATCAACCGAGGCTCTGAAAGGTTAAACAACTTGCCTGTTGACACATATCTATAAAATGATAGAATCAGTTCTTCATTCTCAAACTAAGATCTGTCTGACTACAAAGAATGACATTGTCTCAAAGGCTTCAGATCACGGGCAAACTCATGGGAGCTGTAGGTTTTCTTAAAACTCCACTCACTAGAAATAGTTAGCTGAGGAGTGGGTCACAGGTGGCAAAGCATGAGCTTCAGAGTGAGGCGAAGTCAGTTTCAAATCAAGCTCAGCCGTGCATAAGCCAAATGAACTTGGGGATATGATTTAACCTTGCTGAGCTCAAGTTTTCTCATTTGCAAAATGGTGATGAAGATCCCCAGCTTCACGCTTGCCATGAGGACTACATGCAAGGTCTCTGAAACACTGGCATGTTCTATGCACTCAGTGAGGGTAGCTGCAATTCAGGTTTAGTTTCTTCTTCCTCCTGAGAGCAGCACAATGCATTTTTTATAATGGATTTTTAGGAGGTGACGGGACTTCATGAAAATAGTTAAGGGGCCTAATTATTGAGGTCTTGTCTCTGTCAATAGCTAATTCTGTGGTCTTATGCTTCCTAACTTCTCTGAGCCTTAGTTTACTAATCTATAAAGCAAGAGGATTGGGTTGAGAGAACCCAATCCTCTGAGTTCTGAGAACTTGAGGCTTTGTTAGTTCTGAGAACTTGAGGCTTTGTTTTCCTCAAACTGGTTCTTGCGGAAAGACAATAGAATCAGATTCCTTCCCTGCTGTGTCCTCTCCCCTCCATGCCACTCCCCTCCTCCGTCCCCACTGCAGAAGAATGGCTAAGAGAAGCCCTAGGCTGGAGCCTCCCTGGCCCAGCACGCTGCTCACAGCATCTCTGTTTTTGCCCCTTTCCCCCCACCTGTGGCAGCATCTTGGTGAACATGGATGACAACATCATTGAGCACTACTCGAACGAGGACACCTTCATCCTCAACATGGAGAGCATGGTGGAAGGCTTCAAGATCACGCTCATGGAGATCTGAGCCGTGGGCTTGGCATGCCCTTGGCAGGAGCTCACAGCACATTCCTCCCTGGGAGAGATGGAGGCTGCACACCCTGGAGACCCACTTCACCAACCTCACAACTGCTGTTACAAGACTGCATAGGCCCCACTCCGCCAGTGTGCTTGGCCCGTCCATCAGCTCCTACCAGGGACCTGAAGCCTGAGCTCCTTGGGAAGATGCCTTGGGTCTGGCGGGTTCTTATTTATTGCCCACCATGGGTTGAGGCCTGCTGCAAGTCACTGCTGGCTCTGGGTGAGACCGTCCAGAGCTCCCCTTTCAGGAGAAACACTCCTTCCAGAGTGCCTGAAACATCCTTGTCCCTTTTCTTCACCTCTCCTTGTCTCCGGAATGGCTGGACAAAATGAGCTACTTCTCTGGGTGCAGTAGTCACGGTGGGATAAGAGGTGGATGCCTCTTACTGGCCAAAACTTTAGGCTGCTCTGGGGAAGCTTGTCTTGCTAAAGACTTCCCGGGTTCCCAGTCAGTGGGCACCAGGCCCTGTACAGGAAGACACTGAGCTACCGTGTAATTAGTAACTAACACAGAACGTATGCCTGGCGCGCGTGTACATAGTGTTTATAATATTGCAATAATATATTTTACCTGTGGTATACGGGCACATTTACTGCCCCTGGCCAAGCGGTGGTGCATACCTGGAGACTCCGTTTTCTACAAGAGGTTTCTGCCTCTGCACCTGTTCAGGAGACATGCTGTGTGAGGGAAGGGGCCTTTGGGCTGTCACATGGCTGCAGTGGGTACCACGATGGACTCTCTAGCAGGTGTGCCTGGAAACTCCTTCTCTGTCCCCAGAGAAAGCCTCCTTTCACACCCCTGAGGCCACCACATCTTTCTCATGATGGTACGCTTTCTTGGCTCTTCCTTTGAGCTTTTTCATGGGAAAGGTCATATCGTCTACGTCTAGCTCCTCTGCGTGGGCACCAGCCCTGCCTGAGCTTTCCAGAGAGGCTGTATGGGGGGTTGTCATCTGGTGCCTGGCACTGGGCCTGCTGCAGAACGCCTCCGCTGTCCTCAGAATCCTGGATGCCGTGTAGTGCCTCATAGTTTACAAGCACGTCCTTCATCTCAAGTGGCCTTTGAAAAGTCCAAATGGGGTTCTGAGAGCCTTGCCAGCAGCTCAGGTCTGAACCACCAGGCCAGGGCTTCCTCCTGGAAAGGGAGGATCATCTGCCTGCTCCTGGGTGCTGGGCTTTCAGGAAGTGAGTGAGTGAGAACTCTCGTGAGCCCTGGCCCCTCTGAAACCAGCCTCACCCCGGAGGCAGACTGGGAGAGAGAAGGCTGTGTCCTCCCACTCTGTGCCCTAGGAGATGAAGAGGAGAAAGACACTCCCCTAAGCAATCAGAAATGATGCACTGTGGGCCACTGTTCTCTTTGGGGGGGCAGATACATGGTTTACGGGGCTGTGTTCACATTTGTGGGCAGGTTGTGGAAGTCAGACATATCCAAGCATCCAAGGCTCAGATCTAGGGCAGGTTTTGTGGAAAGGTCCAGATTCGTTTGTAAAGCACTTTGCCGTCTTCCCTGGAGGCCCCTATATCAGGGCTCTCTGCCTTCCCCTCATTGACCCCTGAGGCCCAGAGCAGGATGGAGCTGCTCAGCTGTTTCTCCTTGAGGCTGCAGAAGAACTGGTTGGAATGGAGAGCAGGTGCTATGCCCAGGAAGATCCCTGTGTGGTGGTAAGGTGGTGCCTTTCCCAGTGTCCTCTGTGGTACCCCTTCCTTTGGTGACAGAGGTTTGCATCCTGCATTCAGCTCCACTCCAGTGTGTCCCCTTCTCTGCTCTGACGGCCACTGGCCTGGACCATCCTGGGGACTGATTGGGGCTGTGTTCTAAGTGTTGGAAATCCATATGTAATATGCACTTCCCGCGCTCTGTGGGTTAGGAATAATTTCAAACACAATTGGCAGATGTAGCAGCAAATACTATTGGGCTGGGGCCCAGGATTCCAGAGTAGGGAAAAGATAAAACTTTGGGCAGCCTGACAGGCTATCTACCCTTCTGTCTCCAGCCTCTTTGGAAAACTGTCCCAAGGCAGAAGATGTTTTTACATTTGTCCTAAGTCCCTAAGTCACTTTGGTAACCATTACTAGAACAAAAGATATGAGGCCAGTGCCACCAGAGAGTGGTGCAGAGTGCCACATCCCATCTGATCTGTCCCCCTCTGCATTCCTGGAGCTCCCTTGGCTTAGCTTGGAGGTGTCCTACCTTGTGTACTAGCAGAGCTTTGATGAGCAAAATTTCCCAAGCAAAAACACTCCAGAAAAATAGGACTTGACTCCTCTTCCTTTTTGTCCCTTAAATTAATCATATGCAAATAAGCTTTTTAAAAAAAGAAATCCATGGGAGATGGGGGACATGCAAAGCCTGTGTTTTCCTTACACATCTCCAAATTGTTCAGATTTTACAGGTGTTTGGAAATTGAGACCAACAGAAAATTGCAGTCAGATGTCTTCTTGGAATTGGTTCCTAAAAGACTAAGGCACATCCCAGCCCAGAAACTTAGGAAGCGTGAAATGAATCAAACGTTTATTTTCCTTCTTATTTAAAATCATGGAAATGCAACAGAAATAGAGGATTTGTGCCAAAATCTATGAACAGCCCTTTCTTAAAGACAAGCAAGGGAGATTGATGTATGTACAATTTGCTCTCATGTTAAAAGAAAAAGAAAAGGTAAAATGTAACTTAATAGTTTTGTAAATGGGAGAGGGGGAATCTATAAACTATAAATACAGTTATTTTATTTTTTGTACATTTTTAAGAAGAAAAATAAATATTCGTAACAGAAGAGTAAAACAACAGTGCCTGGTGCTTTTTGCGAGGTGCATGCTGGGGCTCTTTGCCTAGCTGGAAAGAAGTTTCCAGGTGGCTCCCCTGGGCTCACAAGTCCTGGGCTTCCACAGTCCTGACATTTCCTCTTCAGGTTCCTTTGGTGGGGTCCACCCCGGGGTCCAATGAAAAGAGGCTACGGACAGTCAGGAGGCCTCAAAGTGACCATGCCATCCCCTCCTGCCCCCTCACCTCAGGCTCCCTCACTCACCCTTCGCTTCCACAGACACTTTCTGTGGCCCCAGTTCACACATACCAACCACTAACGCCACGTGGTTCCACCCCCAATTTTATCAAGACGGTCTCTTACCCTGGAACCACAGGCTCCCTGGTGTCTGTTACTCAGATGTGAGTCCCTCCATGTGCCCTCCCAGTGTGTGTTAAAGTTTTCTCAGTGGCCACCCCTAGCCCCTGAGAGCTACCCACCTTCCTTTAACTACCACCCTCTGTCACCCCCGAAGGGCAGCTCTGTTTCCAAATGAACAGCGTCTCTGTGTTCTCCCACACCTCCCACTCAGTCTGGCCTTGTCCACAGCGTTTAAATCTTGGCTAAAAATGTGTCCTCAAGAAGGATCCCCCCCCCGGTCGACTTCGACCCCTGTGGGTTCTCCAGCAGCCTCATGCCTGGGCCAGGGGTGGGAGGCAGGGTGAAGGCTGGGGACATGCTTATTGAGGAGCCTAAAGGAGAGACCTGGGGGGTCCATGGGAATGGGAAAGGGGGTGGTAACTGTCACGCAGTTCAGGAGATTTATTGAGGGAGAAACTGTGAAGGATGCCAGGAAAGCAGCAGCAGACTGGGGGAGCCTGTGCACTGACACTGATGGGGGGGTGCCATCGGGCCCAGACTGCAACACGGTGCTGAGCAAGTCTCAGTCAGGCCAGTGCGGAGTCCCCAGGCAAAGGTCACCTGCCGGTGGTGTCCCACCTCAGGCAAGAAGGCCACGTGCAATCACTGACAAGGAGCATCCCAGAGACAGCGTGGCCTCAGCGTGGCTCCCAGGTGTGACAGCAGCAGGTTCTCCTAAAGCAGCGGTTCTCAACGTTCCTAATGCTGTGGCCCTTTAATACAGTTCCTAGGGGTCACGATCCACAGGTTGAGAACCACTGTAAAAAGGAACACATGAGCAGGTCAACCCCCATTAAAAAGTCTCCACTCAGCATTCCCCGAGTGAGTTTACTGGACTATCAACTTGGTACAATACACCTCTTGTCCCCAGGGGTCCCTCATTTCTACACTTCTTTGAGCTCCTCTAAATGGGTACATGGATTAATTTTGGGGACTCTACAGTGGGGACCTCTAGTCACCCAGAAGTAGTAAGAAGAGGAAGTGGTGATGAAAAAGTATGAAAGACAGACGCCACCTGCTTGTTCCCTGGGCCAACAGCCCTCAAGCTCCACTCAGGAAATAATTGGATTCCTGGTCTTCCATGGGACACAGGTGTAAACTACCCACAGCAGCTACCAGCTGAATACCGCTGACTAGTGAGCCTGGCCTGTTATTTCTTTGCTAACAAACTTCCCCCCTCTACCCCCAAATGTATCCAATATTATAGCACTTGGTTGTGTCACCATTGCATACTTAAGGTGAGCCCAGCAAAGTGATTAAATAGTGGTATTGGAAAGGTACCTCTCGAGAGTCTGCCCATCTGTCTGTCTTCATGAGGATGGCGTACGGGTGGCAGAGGTGAGTATTTAACAACAGGTGGCAGCCCAGCTGTCCCCCATTTCTCTTGGAGAACTATTAAAATGTCACCCATTTCCTGGAATAGTGCTGAGAAAAGAAGTCAGGAAATGGCCTCCCGGAGGCCCCGGCCCCTCTGAGCCGCTTCAGCCTGAACAGCTTTTCCCTATGCAAATTCTTCTGTTTGGGGCAGATTTGACTGGTAGTCTACTGACTTGGAAAATACAGGACTCAATGGTTTCTCTCTTGTTCCTTCAGTCATGTCAAAACCCCAGAAAATTTCAGGGATGTGCTGAGAGTACTCCCGACAAAGACGAGAGGCGAGAAGCATCTCCATTTCTTCCAAAGATGGTTCTGATGCTTCCTCTCTGCCTTGACTGAGAGAACGCTTGGATTCCTCCTCTGTGTGTAGGTACCTTTCATGCCTGACCTGGGGTACAAGGGAACTCAGTGGGGAACTAAGACAGTGATCTGAAAATAGGAACCTCAGGTTGGGAAGTTTGCTAGAAATGGTCAGGTTGCAGGTGTGGGGGTTCCTGCTCAGGCTGGAGGCTCTGAGCCACGTTCCCAGCATTTGACTTGGTGTTTGTCCTTCATGCTTAATTCTCATGGCCATCAGGTCATAGCTGGTCCACAGAGACCACCTGTGTGCAATAGGAAGACCCTCTCCAGGCCAACTCAGCCCCCACACTGTGTCTGTTTGGTCCATGAAACGCCCACGAGAGCTGACACTCAAGCTGCCCAGTGAGTGGCCCTTTTCTGCATTGATGGCCTCCTGTGTTGAAGGCAGGGCCAGTGACAGCAACAAAACCAAACACTTGATCTGCATTGGCTTTGAGGGGTTAGCCTGCACCATGGTATCTATTTCACTGAATCTTCTCCGGCTGAGAGGGGGAGAAGAGGGTATTCATTTCCTTAGACTGACACAGATCTCGCGGAAGAGGGAGCTGCCTCAGTTTCTCTTTCCATTGTGTCTAATGTTCAGGCTTTAGCTTGGACAAGGAGGGGAGGTGGGGGAAAAGTAAAGACCCTGGGGGGATGGGGGGAGGGAAGCCCAAATGCAGATCCAGGATTTTTTTTTTTTTTTTTTTTTTTTTGAGACAGAGCCTCAAGCTGTCCCCGTGGGCAGAGTGCCGTGGCATTACAGCTCACAGCAACCTCCAGGGCTCAAGCGAGCCTCCTGCCTCCGCCTCCCAAGTAGCTGGGACTACAGGCGCCTGCCACAACGCCCGGCTATTTTTTGGTTGCAGCCGTCATTGTTGTTTTGGCGGGTCAGGGCTGGGAATTCGAACCCTCCACCTCAGGTGTATGTGGCTGGCACCTTAGCCGGTTGAGCTATAGGCGCCGAGCCCAGATCCAGGATTTTTCTGCTCAGGGCTTTGGGCTTAGCAACCTCTCCCATCTCCCGGGAACCCACAAACTTGGGTTCCTTGTGTCTGTCTAGGGCAGAAACAACACCCAGGAGGAGGCCAGTGTCAGAACCTAGAGCCTCACTAAGGCACAGGGTCAGCTGGGGCAACAGTTTAGGCATGAAAATTCCATGTTCCAGATGATCCTATCAAAAACAATAAACACACTTCAATGTCACACAAGAGCTACATAAAAGCAGCAGATGTGGGGGCCACTCTACATGATTTATAAACACATAGATCATTAAATCCACTGTGGAAAGTGCCCCTGAATCCTACCAATGGGATGGACCAGCACCCTTAGCACCCGTTCCCCAAATGAGGTACGAATAGTTGAACACGCCGTAGACTCCTTCGGGTCATAAGCCACTTTATTCCAGTCCCTTAGACATCACAGGCTGACTTTATCTAGGTCAGAACAGACCACATCCAGAGGTCCCTGAATACAGAAATGACAATGAGCAGCCCGGCACAGGAGTGACCCACACTTTTTAGGCATTCTGCCCCTGGGTGTCATGGAGTCCCTGGGCCAAACTTGAGTGCCCTGAATTAGACATACAACGGCCTGTCTGGGAAGGAGGAGGAGGAGAAAAACAACCCTTGAGAAGACACAGACAGGGTCAACAGCAGGACAAGGGCTATTTCCGCACACTCTGGGAGCATCGGCATTCATTAGCCAAGCGTCTGGCTCTGTTTTCTTTCCTGAACAGCTGGAGACCTTCCTCTGTGCTCCTCACCCCAGCTCTAGGTTCTAGTGAACAGAGTGGGTCTGGCTCAGCAAGATGTCATGGCCAAGGGCAGGGTCCAGGCAGGTCTCTCTGATCATTAACTGACTCCACTCATCAAAGGCGAACTAAAGGGAGAAGAGAGGCCTTCTGTGCAACCCAGAAAAAAGTGGGGTGCAACCCCTGAACATACCCATAGGGGGTGCTGGGCCCCCTCTGCACTCCATGACTTAGGTTAATTCCCTGTTTTTCAAAAACAGATTTTACCCCTTGGGCCATGGAGGAATTTGGCAAATCTTGGTTTAGAACCACTACGAGGAAAACTAAGATGACATTACCAAGTCCAGGTCTCAGAATTTCATCTTAAAATTTGATTCATTTTGGTCCACTATGCAAATTTGGATTTTTGCTACTAGCTAGACTGGACTGAGGTTATGTACAGGATCCTAGAGGTTAGAGTGGACTCAGTGACACGCTCCTCCTGGCTGTGATGTTTATCTTTCTGCTCTGCTTCTACAGGAGCCCATGGACCCGGTTGGGACCCCGCTGCCTTCTCTCGGGGCAGGTTGCCCATCAACATCCTTGAGGGTTTGGGCTTCCTCATACCAACTTCTGGTGAGAGCATGGCTTGTCTGTGACTGGCAAATTTTGCTCTTAACCTTCATTTCCAATCCATGTCTACAGGGTCAGGCCCAACAGCAACTCAAATTTGTGCTGTCACTTCTGGAAATAGAAATCTGCATTCAAGCAAAATACTTTGGATTCTCCATAGTGGGACTTGGAAGCCACAGACTCACTAGTTCATGTCTTCTTTACAGTGAATTAGATCAAACCAACCTCTGAGCCTTCGAAAGGGCCACTGGGGACATGGAAAAGTGAGTGTTCCTATACGGCTCCCTAACCATACACACGGACTAAACCACTGGGAATTCCCAAGCATCAGTGCTATCTTTTTCAAGTCTGCAGAATATCAATCTGCTCAGAAAAGCTCCAGGCCTCCACTCTGATGTTGCCAATGAGCTGCTGGGCCAGGTGAGTGAACCTCCCGTCTCAGCTGACCTCCTGGAGCTCCTCTTGGACGTGCCCTAGCCACACTGCTCTTCTCTGCTCTCCCAGCGCTGCGACTCGGGAAGGGCATTCAACATTAACATCGGGCCCTGGGCAGGGTCATTTTGTACTTTTATGGAATATATAAAATATACTTGTTGATTGGTACATTTGTGCAAAGACAGATACGACTTTAAAACAAGACATAGACATTCATTATAATTGGCTTACTTCACAATAAGCTACTAAAACAGTCTCTGGAACAAGATCGTATTAGTGCTCACTAAACATGCATTTCATTTAAACAAGGCAAAACACTTAATTTGGTCTGCAATACCCAATATTTTATATACAGCAGTCTTTTTTTCTCTTTTATAAATCAATAGGCAACAAGATGGGCCTGGTTTTGGAATATGTTACCATCTGTATTTAATTTCCAAAGACTCGTATCAGCTCAACTGGTGTAAACCTGTGAAAAAACAGCTGAGCATCTCTTTCCTCTCCTCTACTAATTTACCTTGAAATGTTCACAGCTTAGAAACTACAGCCTGCTGGGGAGGAGGGTAGAGTGGGCTCCCTGGAGGAACATCCCAGTCCCAGAGGCTGACTCGTTCTTGGGGAATCCAGCCTCAGATGCCATCCACCCAGCCCCTCTGCGTATGTGCAACAGCGGACCCAGGTGGGGTGTTCTGTTCTTCCAAACAAAAGCTTGCAGGGGAATCACTGGGCTAGACGGGTTTCCCTTTTCTTGCAGCCTCCCACCCCACCCCACCCCAAGTCTCAGGTTTAGAAGAGAGACATTAGAATTGAAAGAAAATAATAATAGTAACGATTAAAAATCGTCAAACAATGAACACCACAAAGTCTGTCCATGCTCTCCACAAGCACACTGGGGCTCTGGGCATTCCGCGAAGCATCCACGACAAGAGAAGCTGAAGGCGTCACGGAGGGAAGCGCGTCTGACCGCACAGGGGGCAGCATCACCATCAATATCGTTTGGCAAAAAAAAAAAAAAATCGGTTAAAAAGAAGAATCAAAGGGGGACACAAGCAGCTCTACACGTGGAGTGGTGGGCGCGGGCTCAGAACTGGCCGGCGCTGCTGGGGTCACACTGCAGGAGGCGCACTATGGACGGGTCGCTTTTGGCCCCTCGGATGAACTCTTCCAGGGAGAGTTTTCCTAGGAAGCAAGAGGACAGGTGAGTGGCGGCTGGAGTCAGCTACGTGAGCACACACCCTTCCCACCACATGTTGGTGGCAGCAGTCGCTTACCTGCCCATGGCCTCACAGCCGCTGTGAGGCAAAACAGTCACCTGTGCCATGGAAGCGCCAGGTGCCGCTCTTTCCAGCATAAGACCCACGAGGCAGGGTCTCTGGCTTGTTTGCTGTGGCGTTGCTAGCCCCAGCCTCAGTGCACACAACAACACAGCACCACTTCCCGAGAGCCCACCGTGTGCCTGTCCCTAGGCTGGGGCTTGGGGGAAGGTGATGGATAACCCTGACTTGGTCCCCACCCTTATGACCCTTCAGACTCCAGGTGCCCTGGAGGAGCTCACTCAGTATTTGTGGGATAAGAGGCACCTTGTGCCTTCATGAGAATGAGCTGTGCCCTCTCAGCACCAAGGCCATTCCCATAATGTTCCTGGGAGCATTCTGGGCCCCTTCAGGCCACTCCAGTGTACTTAGGTTTGCTGCAAGAACCTCTCATATCTGGGGGGAGAAGCTGTGACATAGCGTTCATTCATTCTGTCAGGCAACACATGAAGACAGCTGCACCCTCCACCTACCACCAGGGTAGAGAATGAATGAAGGTGTGCGTGTGGGAGGCAGACGCTGACCGCCTGGTTTCCTCCTGCCCTAATGGGCTGGAAAAGGGTCCCACTCCTGCCTGGTGACCCTTCCTGCATCAGCCTCTCATGAATTCTCTTCCAGGAAGGTCCCTCTGGCACTATTACTACGGAGAGGAGAGAAGGTGGGATAAGGAGCTGGAGGCCACAAAGCCTTTTCACCATTCCCGGTATTTCTCTTTGCCCGCCCTGCACGGGGAGTGATGCAGCTCATTTGACGGGTAAATGTGGAAGGAATTGCAGGACATTTTCACTCCACTTCGCCCTCTTTCTTTCCCTTAGAAGGAGCTGCCCCACAGAGGACTTATTTCCACCTGCTCCTCCAAAGACAGGCACCAGTCCCCTCTGCTCTGCACAGCCCTCAGGGTTTGTCAGCACGTGCTAGGACTGCACACTGAGCCACATCACCCATGGTAGCCCTGTCCTGTCGCCTCAGTTATTGCTTTCTTATTTCTTGATTTATTCCAAACCCAGACAGGAGGTGACTTCCCGAACAGTGAAATCATCAATAAATATGACTTGCTCTCAGCCATAACCCCTTGCCCCAGAACCCAGTTCTTGTTTAACCAAACCCACTTTATCTACATGAAGAAGAAAGATGGGGATTTTGTCATTAATTTGTCTTTAATATGTAGAGTTGGTCCCCTCTAGGTTTCATGTTCTGACCATTATTTATGAACCATGCCCCATCTATGTCGTAGTTAGAATGATGATGGGGTGCTCAGAGTTTACAAGGCACCATGGGAAGGAGACAATAGCAGCCACCCAGGACCTTGGAATCTCTCAGAGGGCGGCTCTGGGAGGTGGCAGAGAGGAATCCCACCTTTGACTGTACCTCAGGCTTCAGAGCTGGGCTTGCCTATGGCCCTAGGCTTTTCTCTTCCAGTCAGAGGCCAGGGGTTGAATGCTAAGAGCCTCGGGCAAGAGGAATCTAATGGCTGGGACTCTATATGGTCTGCTCTGCTCCAGGCAGAGAGGGGACCAGGTGGCCGCAGCCCTGGGGTCTAGAAACTAAGCACCCAGTCTCCTGGTTGGGCTAAGATTCCTCTGACCACTGTGGGCTGTAAGCCTCCTCCTGCTTCCTCCTCCCCTTCCCTTGCACTCTTTCCCTTAGGGAAGTACAGGTCTTCAGCATTTGAGGTCTAGCCCAGTTAGGGCTCTGCAATCCTATAGCTACAGGGTCCCAGTGGAGAGACCCTAGTTCGTTGCCTATGACCAGCACGCAGGGCATTATCCTGTGGCGTTCTTGGTCTTCTTCCACCCTCCAGCCCTGATTTAAAAGGGTAAGGACCTCGAGCACAGCACAGACCCCTCATGTTCCCTGGAGCAACAGCAAATCCTACCGTTTGCTCAGCAAGTTTATTAGCTACTAAAATAAGTCTGCGCTTATTTTCTCTTTAAGAACAATCAAATGTAAGGAGAAATACGATGTAATGAGACAAAATGGCACCTGGGTGGAGGGAACACAGCAAAGGTATTGGCCCACACTGTGCAATCCCAGACTTTCAGGCAGCTGGTGACCCAGGTTAGGGACAGAAAGAGAGAGAGAGAGGCTTGCTCTGCTGCAAAGCCTGCTGTTTTCTGTACATTGACGCCAGGTGGGGCGGATGAGTGCATGTGTACATTTTTGATAAGAACTGCTGGGGACTCTGAGACAACAAGTGAGCTGGTCAGAACAGCAAGAGCTGCAGAGCCTATTATGGACCAGGCCCTGAGCTCAACACTTTAAACTGGGGTATAACATCTAAATAGGGCTGCCAGATTTGGCAAATAAAATACAGGACTTCCAGTTAACTTTGAATTTCAGACAAACAGAAAACCATTGTTTAGTATAATATGCCCCAAATATTTATATTCAAAAATCCCTGTTTATCTGAAATTCAAAGGTAATTGGGCCTTCTGTAGTCTATCCAGCAACTCCGTATCTAAAGTCCTATTCTATTCCAACCCTCCTTGTTACTTCGTTGGGTTTGAATTGTGCAGGTGGTGCCATCAGGTGGGAACCTGCTGGCCACCTCCCTCCCTCACTCCTTTTGCATCCCTGGCCCCTCAATGACTGAGGGAGCCATGTGTCTCTAGGAAACCTAACCCCTTACAGCACACACAAAAGACCCCAACAGAACCCCATGGGCAGGCTGGGGTGAAAGCTGCCAGCACCTGGGTGGGATGACACAACCCCTCCTCCCGTTCTGATTGGCCTGCAGGGACCCAGCCTGCTGTGCCTTGGGCCTGTTCTGAGGACTAACAGTACTTTCTTGGGTTCTTCCATTCCTGCCCTATAAGACCCATCTGTTTTCTTGGGGGTAGAAGATGACTGAGAAGGAGGAGAGAAGGGCCTAAAAAGAAGGCATTTCCCCCTAAACTGGGATCAGCTCTGCAGCGACCACCTGGTCCTCTTCCTTCCTGCCTGGCCAGGAAGCATGGAGGGTGAGATAGCCTCATAAAGGGTCTCCAGCCAGGTGCCCAAGCCTGAGACTGTGTCCTCCAGTGTTGTTTCCCTTCCTGGACTCCCTGGCCCCTCCCGCAGCCCCACCTGACAGAGCAGAGAGCGTCTGCCTCTTACCGTCTCTGTTGGTGTCCATCTGACGGAAGATCTTTTCTGTCCTTTTCTCTGGGGTGGACTCATCTTCAGGCATTTTCATTACAGAGGAAACCATTTTATAAATTGCCTGGGGACAGAAGCAACATGGCGGTGAGGCAAACACTATATGGGACACAATACTCCTATTGTTAAACCTCCCAGATGCAGGGCTAAGGGACTGCCCCTATCCACACTGGTGCTATCCCTGTCCCTCCTGAGTTGTGGAGGCCCAGTCCCTTGTGGGAGCCGAGCCAGCAAGATGTTATCCAGTGAAGACCCTCAGGAATGACATCTGGCAGGAAGACCCACGAGACTAGTGATTTTCAACTGGTGTGCTGTGAGAGGATCTCAGGCAGGCTCCAAACATTATTAAAGATAATTAGTTAAATTATTTTCAAAAGAAAATTTCAAAGCACAGTAAGTGTACTCATTTTTGGTCAACATAATTTAAGTGTGTCATGGAAGGATAACTTCAAGTGTGCCGTGAGACGAAAAAGGTTGCAAAACACTACACCGGACCCCGTATCTGCAAGATGAACGTGCAAGCAAACTCCCAGGAATCCTGAGACAATGCAGATCTGACTGGGCAGGGCTGGAGCAGGGGTGGGACTGAGATTCTGTGTTTCTAACAAGCTCCCACGTGATGCTGATGGAGCATCAAGGAGCAAGGCCATTGGTGACATTCCTCAGGCCAGAGAGTCAAGTAGAGGTCTGTTGTGGCTCCTTCCACCAGGATGATGAGCACAAAACAGTGTGCTAGTGGTGTTGGCATCTCCGCCAGGTGGACACACCTGGAACCCATCTGCGTGTTCTTCCCCCTGTGAGTGTCAAAGGTCTTACGGTCCTTCTCTGCAAACTCCCAAAGAAGGAAACAACCCGCTGAGTTTCAGATTAAATATGCAGTCTCAGGCCTGAGATTAGCTGGGTACAGCTGTGAAATCTGATGGGCAAGAAGGAGTGTTTTGCAAGCAGTGCTGAAACTGTCTTCCCTGCCGCCTGTGGCCTCTGCATGGAGGCCTCAGTTGTCAGAGGCAGTTTCTGTCTGGGAAGAGAAACATAAAGGCAGATCATGACTTTGCTAATCAAATTCACTTGGGGCACCTCAACCCTGGGTCAAAGTTCTAGAAAAACTAGATTTTCCCAGGGGTGGGAGAAATTTCCAGAAATTTCTAGAGTTCTGGAGGCAGCAGAGCAGCTGGAAAGAGCAGAGAAAGGATGGCAGCAGAGGAGAAGTGGCTTCCAAATGGAAAATGTGGGAGGCGAGAGGGACACAAAGTTCCAACTTAGATGCTTTATGGCCTTGTTAAGGATCAGCCCTGCCTGGAGTGCTGAAAATATTTTGGATAAAGGGGGGTAAATATTCTAATCTCAGTCAATAAAATAAGAGGGAACACTTGACTTGCCCACTGTGCTGACCCTCGGGCTGATCCTGTCCCTTAGGGACCCCTCTGACCAGTCTCCCTGAGTCCGTCTTGAGCCTGCTGAACTCTAGAGCTGCCTCCACTGCGATAGTCTGGGAGGAAGATCAGGCCTGGGTTATGGCCCTTCTGGGGTAATAGGTGTCACTGGGGTAGGTGCAGCCACAGTTAGCTAGAGGTGGCAGGCAAACTGTCATCTGTCCTCCTTTCCCCTAACCCCCCCACTTGCTATCTCCTCCAGCCCAAGTCTGTGCCGTATGCCAGGCTGTTAGGAACATCCAACTTCTTGAGGGGGGCTAGAAAAGGTCACGGAGATCGACCTCTTTTCACAAAAGGGTAGACAGAGGCCTTGAGATTTATTAGGGCCAGGAGAATATATAGTAATGGTGGAAAGCAGGACTCTTTCTATAAGGTACAGCGATCTCTCCTCGACTTTCTTCATTCCCACAGTGGAAGATTTTCTATAACTTCTGACTGAGTCAAAATGGAATCAGAGGCAGCATCCGTGGGACCCTGAGCTTGTGTTGCTGTGACTAGAGGAGTGTGCACCCTAGATCACCAGTTCACAGTGGGGTTCATGCTTCTATGAGAATCTAATGCCCCACCGATCTGACAGGAGGCAGAGCTCAGGTGGTGATGCGAGCAATGAAGAATGGCTGTAAATACAGACGATGCTTTGCTTGCTTCCCCACTGCTCACCTCCGCCTCTGCGGGTCAGCCCGGTTCCTCATAGCCCACAGACCAGTACCCATCCTAGACCCCAGGATTGGGGACCACAGCTCTAGGTTATGAAAATCTCAGTTCTTTAGGTTACTCCTGCCCACCATCTCACTCAATCATACATTCTCTCAGTCATTCATCAAATATTTATTGAGGAAACCACTATTGCTAAGTATTATGTTTGACTCAGTCCTTGCCCTCATGGGCTCTGCTGCTGAATAAGGCAGACAGACATTATTCGAATAATCAGAAAAGCGAATATAAAGCTATTACTGAAGAAAATGCTACAAAGGAGGGTGCTCAGTCTCACAAGATGACATAATAGAGAATTGGCCTTTGTCAGGGGGGTTAGGGTAGGCTTCCCTGAGGATGGATGATTGAGCAAAGGCAGGAAAAAAGCACAGGGTGAGGGAAACACGGTGTGGAAGCCCAGGTCTGAGGCACACAAGAAACAGCGCAAGGACATGTGGCACAAGACGGGGCTATAGGGTAGGTTGGGACTGCCCCCTGGGCCTCACAGCCCACATCTGGAGATCTGTATTTCTCCAAAGAGCAACACAAAGATGGACATGGCATTAAATTTGATTTACCTATTTACACTCAGTTTCCAAATTTAACTCTATTCCTTTATTTGCAGGGAATGGTGTTTAGAGAACTGAAAAACGGTCATTCATAATTTATTTAATAATTATTTATTGTTGTCCACTCTGTGCTAGGTGGTGGGTACAAGACTGATATGCTGTCTCTTATTTATTTTTTTGAGACAGAGTTTCACTTTGTCACCCTTAGGTGAGTGCTGTGGTGTCACAGCTCACAGCAACCTCAAACTCTGGGGCTCAAGCGATTCTCTTGACTCAGCCTCCCAAGTAGCTGGAATACAGGTGCCCACCACAACACCCGGCTCTTTTTTATTGTTGCTGTTATTGTTGTTTAGCGGGCCGGGTTCAAACCCACCAGCCCTAGTGCATGTGGCTGGTGCCCTAACCACTGAGCTATGGGCACTGAGCCACATCTCTTATTTTAGACCTCACTAATCCTCTAGCAGAGGACTTTGCGTGGTAACGTACATTATGAATATCACCTCATTTTTTATAAGTACCATTTAGATAGGTATAGTCATTCCAGTGATGTCTTAATAGTTGTTATGAAAGCCCCTACCCAGACGACCTCTGGGTCCCCTGGTGCTAAACAGACCCATCAGTCTGGAGCACTCCTTGGAACTGTTGGCCTCTAAAGCTTGGTCCCATGAATTTCTTCTCCTTGGGATTCTGCTGCAAAATCAACTGTGAGGTGATTCCCTTTATATGTGTGGTCCAAGAAATGAACAAAAGCCCAAGCAGACACAGGAACGTGTGTGAGAAGAGGACGCTCTCACCCTCAACAGAGTCTTCCGGAGTATTAGTCTTTAGCTCTTAGGCTCCAGGAGGGGGTTAGTACAGAGAAATGAGGTTAGGTTAATACTGCAACCAACCACTCACCTCTCATCTCCTCCTCCATAGGAACCCAGTCAGAAGGTCCTGACATGAACATACTTGCAAATGGTGCTTCTGTAATGGGGCAGGAGGCACAGTGTCTGAGTGTCCTATGGGTTGAGGAGGAAGTGAGTTCTCCTTTAAGAGGCTCACATTTCCAGATGGCTTTTTCATGATACTCAGACTCATTTAAAAAAAAAAATTGTGCATCAATTCATGATAGGCATTAGTGAATTATTTATAAAACTAGGTCTGTGACATGTATGGTACCACAGCAGAGAGCAAAGAGTTGAGGCGACAAGTCCCTGTGGTCTCCAGAGTAAGTGGATGCCTTGCCTTGCAAAGCCACATTCGGGGAATTGTCTGGGCCTTTGCTCCCTTCCCACGGCATCAACAACTGAGAGCTGATTGTATTAGAACTGCAAAATCTGGACTGCACAGCAGAGAAAAAAGCGACACGACCCCAGACAGCCTTCTGAAACAAATCATGTCTTTTATTAGTTCCAGTTCCCCCCACCTCTCAAAATTTAATGGGATTAAACTATGGAGAGACCAGACTACTTCCCTACTTTATTTTTAGCAATGTTGAGAGGCCTAGCAGGGGCGCCCTGTGTTTGATTAAACTTGAAGAGTCCTATTCTTGTCTCTGGGTAGATGCAGAGCTTTGGCGCACCCAGGCAGGCTTGGGACAGCTCCCCACTGTGGCCAGGGCTCCTACCAGCTTCCTCCTGGCCTACATTTTTCTTTCTTTTTCCCTTCGAAGAAATAACCTCTTGGAATGCTAGAAAGGAAGGATCTTCTTCACAGATCATGGTTGTGGGAGGGACTGAGGGCAGGCACAGCTCCCAGAGTTCACACACAGCCTCTTCTCTGAAGGGGACCTCACTGATTCTTTGCATCAGAAAATTTAGGGTCTTCTAAGAGCAAACCAGGCATCTAAGCCTTTCCAAGAGCAGATTAAGGGCAAGAGACGTGAAGCAGTACAAAATTGTTTTAGATTACAAAGAACAGCACCATCTTTAGGAGGATATTACATACCAGGAAAGGGGGACTGTGAAGATCTTTTTTTGGAAATGATAATACTTTAAAAATCGGTCCTTTCCCATTTAGAGCTGGAAGAATAACTTAAATCAGTAATTTTCGGGTTTTCATAGTGTTCTCATGCATTGATTGAAGTACCTTCACAGGTAGGGAGGTGAGAGGAGAATAGGGGCCCATTTCTTTTTCAGTCAAAGAAGTTTTATTCTTATACCAAATTTTCTATGAGATTTTACTTGGGGAGGGGGGAACACGTTTTTGCTGCTAAAAATTGAGTTTGAAACCACAGAACCACTTTGCACATTCCTTCCTTTCTGATACTTTAATCCTCAAAGGTAATGAGCAAGTCAAAGATTTGTACCCAGAATCATACCCCCTGCTCACTAGGGGAGCTTATGATTTAAAAGAACCCCATGCTATATCCCCTTTTAGGACTTGAA